CTCCCAGGTGCTTTCCAGCGGGAGGAACCACTCTTTAGCGAAGTGGTCAGGAAAAAAGGAGGCAAGAAAAGGCCTCCCCCAAGGCAGAAGGGAGAGGTCCAGCTCCCACATCCCCCCCTCTCCTCTCTCCCAAGGGGCCGAGAGGAGAAAGGGGAAGAAGAGGAAGGCCCCCCCCGCACCGCGGCAATCACCGTTACTTGCCCTGTGGGCGAATACGCCGCGGTAATGGCGCGGGCTCAAAGGGAGATCTCCCTGAAAGATCTGGGGATCTCCGGGGAGGTAAAACCCCATCCGGCCCAGACGGGGGCAATGGTGCTGGAGGTCTCCGGCCCCGACAGGAAGAACCAGGCGGACAAACTGGCCAAGCGGATGGCCGACCTGTTCGCCGACAGGCCGGAAATCCGCATCACTCGTCTCCATAAGATGGGCGAAATCCGGGTCTGCGGAACGGACCCCTCGGCCACATCCGAGGAGATAGCCCGGGCTGTAGCGGAACAGGAGGATGCCCCCCTACCAAAGTCAAAGTGGGGGACTTTAGATTGACGGCGAGTGGCCTGCGGACGGCATGGGTCCGTTGCCCCTTGAAGGCGGCCACCAAGATTGGGCAAATAGGCCATCTTCAAGTAAAGTGGTTCCCCTTCAAGGCGGAACTGCTGGACGCACGCCCTCTCTAATGCTTTAGATGCTTGAAGAGGGGGCACGTGCGGGCCAAGTGTCTCGCGGGCAATGCAGATCGCAGCGGTTGCTGTTACCGCTGTGGTGCCGCGGGACACGAGGCGAAAGAATGCACGGCGCCAGCCCATTGTGCCGTCTGCCAGGCGGCCGGTCGCCCGGCCTCCCATCGTATGGGAGGCCAGGCATGCAAACCCTCGAAAAACGGGGGAAAGAAGAATAAGGGGGGGGGAATGTCTCGGTACCCTCCCCCCAGCAGGGAAGTCAGACGATAACGATAGCGGCGATACCACCTAGTCTGGAGGGGCCCAGTCCCCCCCAAGAGATGGAGTGCAAACCATCGTTAAATGTCATCGTTGATGACATGATGGAGGTTGACCTGCGGGAGTGACGGGTTTCGTGGATCTAAAAATGCCTACGAGACTCCTGCAGGCCAATCTGAATCACGCCCGACAGACCCAGGATCTCTTTCTTGCAGACCTGTGCGGGCGAAATGCCGGATTAGGCGTGGTGGCGGAGCCATATGGTGTGCCTGACTCAAATCCTAACTGGGTAGCGGCCGCTGATGGCTCCGCTGTCATAATCAGAAGGCACTCCCCGCGCTTTCCCCCATATCCTTGGTGGAGAAGGGGCGGGGATTCGTTATTGCGCGGTGAGGTGCCCTGCGTGTGGAGGGGGTCTATGCCCCCCCCCCCACGCATATCACCCCGAGTTCCAACAACTACTGCGGGAGATGGGGGTAGGCATACGCCGATGCCTCCCCCACCCCGTATTGGTAGCCGGGGACTTCAACGCCTGGAATAGGGCGTAAAGTTCCCGGCGCACCGGCAGGAGGGGTGAGATCTTGCTGGATTGGGCGGCAGAGTTGAACCTCCAACTCCTAAACAGGGGGTCCGTCAGCACATGCGTGCGTGCCCGTAGGGAATCCATCGTCGATCTGACGTGGGCTACCCCGCGGGCCGCGCGCTTGGTAGAGTCCTGGGGGGTGACGGACATAGAGTCCATGTCGGACCACTAAATTATAGAGGTGGTCCTGACAGCCACCTCCCCAAGGAATGCTGCTCCGCCGCCTGCAAAGGGGGAATAGACCCCCACGCAGATGGGTTTTGTCCCGGCTAGACCCGGACAAACTGGCGGCGGCGGTCTCGGTGGGGACGTGGTCGGATCTTCTCGACTGTGTCGAAGCTGAGAAGGAAGCCGCTGCAATCGTATGCATGGTTACGCGTTTTTGTGACGTGGCCATGCCCCGATCGAGGCCCGCCCCTCGTCGGGCGGCGTATTGGTGGAGTGAGGGGATCGCAGAGCTCCGCAAGCGTGCCAATGCGGCTCGACGCGAACTCCTCAGGGCCCGACAAAGGGCGGGTAGTGATGACGGGAGCACTGCCGTAGCGCGCGGTGAGTACCTGGCCGCAAGGTGCTCGCTGCGGTCGGCCATCGGCAGGGCCAAGACCAAGGCCTGAGAGGAACTGTTAGCGGAACTCGACCGGGACCCATGGGGGCGCCCCTACTGGGTAGTCCTGAACAGACTAAGACCGGCGGCGCCTCCCATCTCGGAGGCGCTCGACCCGGAGTTCCTCGGCCGGGTGGTGGGGACCCTCTTCCCCGTAAGGGATGTCAACATCCCCCCGAGGAGGGACCTTCCCCCCTGGTCCGGGAACCTGGAGATCTCGAGCAGGGAACTCTCCGAGGCAGCGAAGGGGCTGGGGGCTGCTAGTAAGGCCTCCGGCCCTGATGGGATTTCCGGTCGCATCTGGGCCTTGGTCCTTGGCGGGGTAGAAGCCCGCCTGAGGAGGTTATACAACACTTGCCTCAGGACGGGCGTCTTTCCCTCGGCGTGGAAAAGGGCCAACCTGGTCCTGCTCCACAAAGAGGGGAAGCCGGCGGAGCAGCCTTCTGCTTACAAGCCAATATGCCTGCTGGACGAGGCCGGCAAGCTGTTTGAGAGAATAGACGCTGGCCGAATCGTCTGGCACCTGTCGCGGAATGGTCCCGACCTTAGTGAGGAGCAGTTTGGGTTCCGGGAGGGTCGCTCAACAACGGATGCAATAATGCATCTCAAGACCCTCTTGGACCAGATTGTTGGGAGGAAGACGTGGCGTTGGCGGTGTCACTCGACATCGTCAACGCCTTTAATTCCCTCCCCTGGGATTATGTGGGGGCGGCCATTGGACATCATGGTCTCCCCTGGTATTTGAGGAAGATGGTCGGGGACTACTTCCGCGGTAGGACGCTCCAGCACCGTGATCAGCTGGAGCGGGTAAGCAGAAGGCCCGTGCACTGCGGGGTTCCACAGAGGTCGGTTCTGAGACCCCTACTGTGGAACCTCGCCTATGATAGAGTGCTCCGCACGGCGTTCCCCCCGGGATGTCGTCTGCTATGTTACGCAGACGACACCCTAATAGTGGCCCGGGGGAAGGACTGGAGAGGGGCTCGGGACGCGGCAAATGCCGCAACCCGAGCAGTCGTATGCTTCATCAGAGCCATAGGGCTCGAGGTCGCCCGGCACAAGACGGAGGCCTTGTATTTCTACAACAGGGCCTTGGGGCGACCTCCCCCCACCCAAATATAGGTGGGGGAAGTCCGGGTTCAGGTGGGGACCCAGATGAAGGACCTGTGCCTCACCCTGGATGGGCTCTGGGGGTTCGAACAACATTTTGTTCAAATCATCCCCAGAGCGGACAGGATGGCGGCCGCATTGGACCTCCTGCCCAACGTGGGTTGGCCGAACTCAAAGGTTCGGCGCCTTTACGCGAATGTCGTGCAGTCGGTGTCCCTCTATGGGGCACCGGTATGGGCCGAAAAAGTCTCGGCCAGTCGGCGAATCAAAGCGATGCTTCATCGACAGCAACGCCGGCTGGCCATTAGGATCATTTGGGCCTACTGCACGACATTGTTCGTGGCGGCCACGGCCCTGGCGGGCCTCCTCCCGGCCGAATTCTTGGCAACCTCGTACGCTGAAGTTTACCGGCGTACGAGGGACCCCGATTGCGCCGGGAGTGCCCGCCTCAGACCAGGGGCCGTGGAAAAAATTAAGAGGAAAGCCCGTCGCAGGGCCATCACGCATTGGCAGGCGGCCATTGCGGACACTGCGATGGGCCGATGGACCACCCATGCCATCCAGCCCTGTCTGCCGGAATGGGTGGACAGGAGGGGACGAGGACTCGGGTTCCACCTGACGCAGGCACTCACCGGGCATGGGTGCTTCGGTGACTACCTGTGCAGGATCGGCAAGGAGCACACGACGAAGTGCCACCACTGTGCGGCCGGTCGGGACTCGGCGCAGCACACCCTCACGGAGTGTGAGGCGTGGTCAGGGGTGCGCCGGGCTCTGACCGCAGTGGTTGGCGAGGACCTCTCCCTTCCGGCATTAGTCCGGACGATGCTGGAAGGGAAGGATAATTGGAAGGCCGTCTCCGATTTCTGCGACGTTGTAATGTTGCGGAAAGAAGAGGCGGAACGTGTTAAAAGAAAGGAGATGGAGGAGGTGGATGCTATCCCACTCCTCTCTCTTCCTCTCCCCTCTCAGAGGAGAACCTCAGGGACCTCTCAGGCTGTGATGGTGGTGGTGGCAAGTTTGTTCACCACCGTCTGAGAAGCCCCTACCACTGTTAAGCCCTAAGGTG